GTTTCCCCATTTGCTTTCAGAGTGGCTTCTGCACAGGTGAGACCCGAGATTACCTCTACCATGACAATAACATATTGTTTATTTCCTGACCTGCGAAAGGGTCCAATGTAGTCCACCTGCCAGGTGGACCACAAGGATTTTCCTTCACGCAGATGGAGACTGTCTGTTGTTAGGGGATGTTCCCCCATGCGAATTTTACACAGCTCACATTCTGAAATTGCAGATTTGGCTTGTTCACGTGTAACAGGCCATCCACGTGCTTGAGCTTCCCTGTAGAGGTCTAAGGTTCCTGAATGGCCTCTCTTTATGTGGAGCCATTCAAGCAGTCTTCCCCACTCAGACCTCTCACCCTGAGCAATGGCCTCTCGGATTTCAAGTACACTGATTCGGGCCAGGTCATCAGCTTCATTATTCCAGTAAGATGCTTCATCCTTCAAAGCTGATTGGTGGGAAGGCACCCATCCAACATGAAAATTTGGATTTGATTTGGCTATGCCCAATATCTGTTGCCATTTTTCTTTCTGCCACACTGAGACCCCGTTGATTTCCCAATTGTTATGTTCCCAGTGTGTTATCCACTCCACACAGCCCTTAAAGACTGCAAAGGAGTCTGTGTAAATGTACACAGCTTCCTTTGAGGCTCGTTCTTTTACAAACACATTAAAGACAGCGTCCAGCTCTCCTACTTGGGCACTACCTTTATCTTGATTTACTATTTGTTCACCTGTGGAGGGCTTTATAGCAGCAGATTTGAAAAACCAAATTTTGCCTTCCCTTCTGGAAGAGGCATCAGTGAACCAGGTGTTAGTCATCCCATCTTTATATTCTGGAGCCTCTTTAATTGGACTGGGAGTTTTCATTATCAAATCTTCTTCATTTTTTGAGCCAATTGGGTCCTGTATTTTCAATTCCTTGTCAGGACCTTCTTCAATTTGGAATAGGCCTGAATAATATTCAATTTGACTGTACCATTTCCTAATTGTACCCTTTTGAGATATTCCTTCTGGAGGGGCCCTTCCAGACAGCACTTGCTTTACTACTTTAAAAGGGCCTCGGAGGATCACCTTTTGTTTTTTAATGATTTTGTTCACTTCTTTTAGTGCTGTACAAACAGTCAATAACCCCTTCTCCAGAGTGGAGTATCGTTTTTCTGAATCTTTGAGACTTTGGGAATAAAAACCAATTGGTCGGGTGCTCCCATTAGGTCCTCGTTGCCAAAAATGGTATGACAAAGCACTGGCAGAGAATCCCCACTCTATTATTATTGGATCCTCTGGGTGGAGAGGTCCCAGAGTTTGGTACGTTTGTACCTCCAATAACAATAATTGGAGTGCCTCATCGTGGGATTGTTCCCACTCCCAATGTCGGTTTTTCTTTAATAAATCATGTAAAGGACGAGCAATGATGGAAAGGTCCGGTATGTGTTTCCTCCAGTACTGCAGGGTGCCAAGAATTTCTTGTAGCTCCTTTTTGTTTGTAGGTGCCTTTATTTCCCCAAGGTGGGATAAGGTATCTGAGGGAACATTCCATGTGCCTCCCTTCCACCTTATTCCCAGAAATTTTACCTCTTGGGATGGGCGTTGCCTCTTCTCCTCAGGGATCTCTATTTGCATACCTGTCAGATGCCCAATTATGGCGTCATAAACCGCCTGCACCTCCTCCTCACTCTGGCCTCCTATCAGTACATCATCAATATACTGATAGACTTTAACTTTGCTGTTATCTTTGATGACAGGTATTTCTTCAAGTTCACGTGCAAGTGCGTGATGGGCCAGTGTGGGTGAGTGCTTGTATCCCTGGGGTAGTCTAGTAAAAGTGTATTGCACACCATCCCAAGTGAAGGCAAAATATTTCTGATCCTCAGGATCAATGGGAATTTGAAAAAACATGTCTTTGACATCAAGAGAGGCAAGCACAGGATGTGCTGCCTCCTGCACCTCCAGTATTATGTCTGCAATATTTGGCACAGCAGCTGTGAGTGTTTCTGTGTTACTATTCAATCTCCGGAAATCAACTGTCATTCTCCACTTTCCATTTGGTTTTCTAACAGGCCAAATTGGCGAGTTAAAGGGAGAATGGCAGGGCACAATAATGCCTTTTTGTCTCAACTCGCTGATTACCTCTTTTATGCCTTCTTTTGCAGCAATTGGGATTGGATATTGCCGCACATTTGTGATACTGCTTTGGGGTAGACGGGGAGCACTTTTTAGCAACCTAACTTGGAGTGTGGGCGTGCCAAAATTCCAAAAACGGCCATTTTCATCTCTCCACGCTCGGCCCATAAGAACATCCATTCCTAATAAATTATAAGGAATGTCGCCCACTATCATCTGGGTCCGAATAGTCTCATCTTCCCCTGGCAATTTCAGGGTTACTTTTGCTGTTTTTTGTAAAGTGGGCTTCCCAAATGCACCACTGACAAATATTGATTTCAGAGACGCATTGATGCCGCATCGGTCAGCTGCATCTGCTCTTAGTGTGGAGATTTGTGCTCCTGTGTCTACCACAAATGTAACAGGATGACATTTTGGTCCAACAGCACATGTGAGTTCCAAGTCCCCATTTTTGTTTTGGACAAGTCTTAATACATTTTGCCAATCTTTTGGAGGACTTGAAGTTTTGGAGCCTGATTGGTTTTGCCAATCTTGTTTGTTTTGTGGGGTGGCCTCCCAGGGTCCACTCAGGGGTTCAGTCGAATTGACTGTATTTGAATTATCACCTTTCCCCTCCCTCTGCTGTCTTTTTGGCAGCTTTTGATTGACAGAGGGAGGGCTATTTAGTTTCCCTGATTGGGTGTTGCAGGCCATGTGTCAATTAGCATTTTGAGGTGATTGTAAGAGTAATTTTGGGCTAAAAGCCCAGGTGGGATACCTTTACGCTTAGCTTCCTCCTTTAGCTGAGCAAAAGGCCCTGTGTCACCCTGTGATGAAGTATTTCCATGCTCGGGGTGTTGGCAATTACGTGTGCTGTTCTTTCGCTGCCTTTTACCATTTTTATTCTGCCACTCACCCCGTGGCTCCCCTTGCTGAGGTGCAGGGCCATGAGATGACAGGGCAGCTATTGCAGCATATGTGAGGTTTTTGTTGTTTACCGGAGACTGTATAGATACCTGTCTGGTGGCAGCAGGCCTCCGGGTCTGTTGTTCCTCGGGCACATAATATGTTCTTAAATAGTTAGTGAGTTCCCGGGCTAGATCTGCCCACGTGTAACCATTTCCTCCTGATGAGGCAATTCTTTCTTTAATGTTAATGGCTACATTTCTCAATGACTGGGGTAGCCCACGAATCAGAATAGTCATTCGTTCCGGATGAATTCTGAGATTGAGAGGGCTTTCCTCATGAGGGACCAGCTCGTGGTTGTATACCAGTTGAATAGCCGCTGCTTTGTGTATGTTGTCCATCAGTGTGGACGAGTCACCTCCCAACATATCAGGTTCACCCCGTGCAAGGGGGTCTGTAAAACCCATGTTGTAAGCAACTCTTTGTGTAATGGTCCATGGATATCTGGGATCTCCTGTAGTTAACAGTATTCCTGATCCCCAGAATCCTGAGGCTTCTTCCTCAGTTAGCATGATGTGGTCTCCCCCTGAAGCAGATACTCGAGTAACATACTCCATATCTGTTTCATAAGGAAGGCGGCTATATTCTTTCTTTAATTGGGCTCTTTCCATTGCTGTGTACATTCTCTCCTTAAACACCACATCTTTTTGTCTGTTCTCACCCTCGCCGTGGTATGTTATATCTGTACGCACGACTGGGCAAAGACGTTTGTGTTCTCTTCCCCCCTCTTCCTCTGAACTACCAGAAGAGGAGGAAGCATTTTCTGATTTGGTAGCCAGATACCGAAATTTCTCTTCTATTTTATCCATGATCAGTTTTGTCATCTCACATCTGAGAGACTCCAATCCTCCCTCTGCCTCACTATGCATAGGAGCAGAGGGGTGTGGTGTTGTGTGTTTTGGTATGCTGGCTGCTGCTGGCCCCTTTTGTGTAGTGGGTGTAACCTGAGAACTGGAGGGCACCGCCTCTGGTGGAGCACTTGATGTTGTCACCTTGTCTTGATAGCTGAAAGGCAGCTCCTGGGGGGGTGCTGTTGGTGTTAAGTATGTAGGATTAATGGGAGGAGTTGCTGCCTCCAGGGCAGGAGAGCTGGTTTTGTTTTTTAAATTTACCCTTTGTGGTGGTTTTGCAGGCTTTTTGGAGCAAAATTCTTGTTCATCCTCCTCTGTACACGAGCCTTCAGAATCAGACTCGCTATAGTCTGAGTCTTCAGAATCATCAGATTTGGCCGAATTATTAGATTTTATAGTGGCCAATTCATCACGAAGTTCCTCATTCTCTTTCCAGATTACTGTAGCAAGAGTAAAGAACGTTCGGGTAATAAGGCAATCTGTACTCCACTTTTTTATGTCTTTTTTGAAATATTTTGGAATTTTTATTCCCTCCTCAAGGTGTTGCAAATCCTCCACTAGTTCAGCTAATTTTCCTTCCTTGTATTTACTGAATACCACAGAAAATAACCGTGGTGAGAGAAAGCAACCATTGGCATCCAGGTATTCCTGAAAAGTGACAACAAAAGGACATTCCTGAAGTTCTTGAACAGTTAACCCGTTTTGAGCCTCCTTGTCTGCAGTGCAAGCAGCACCATTGCTGAATATTGCCCCCATTATTATTTGGTTTTTATTCTTATTAGGAACACAGTAAGCACGGCAAGATACTCCCCAGCAAGCACTTCTGACACCAGAAAAAGTAATATGTCACGATCCGTGACCTATTATATCTCCTTTTTGGAGTGTATTAACTTATCAGGATTTGCTGAGAGATCCACACGTGGGTATTGCCTCACACAGAGGAGACAGGGGCATATGCCCTGACTTTTTTGAGTGAATAACCTGCTCAGTGCTTACTAATCTTTCCAACGAAATGCACGGTTTATTGTGGGGAAAACAAAGCAATTTGGGGCAGGAGGTTCAAAAGGAGTGATTACAACACGTAAACAGCATTCCTCCCTGCCCACCCCCCTCCCCCAGATACTGTAATACAAACTCCAGTTTGCTTTCTTTAAATTGGTTTAATCTTGAAGTGTAGTCCAATAAGACTGAAGACTAAACACTTAAGATCCTGGACCAGGTAGTAGAACACTCTCAAGCCCTCTGGATCCTTGGACTGATTTACATCGATGAGGGAACCGATTTTTGACGTGGTGAAGGAGATACCAATGACTTTTCCAAGCTCCTGCCGCCCGACTCTGTCCGGAGGAGGCCACAGAGCATCGTCCTCCTTTGTGATTTCACTGTCCTCGATGATCCTCTGCAGCTCCTCCGTCACGCCCTTATGCACGTAGGCCTCCTTGCGGATCATGACGTTGTTCTTGTAGTTGCTGTTGTTGGCGTAACGGAGCTTCCCGTCGGGTCGGAACTCGAACTCGAGGAACTCGTGGCCGAACTTGCCCTTGTGCCCCACGTAGTAGCGCAGGTAGAAGTCGCTCGCCATGGTCCCACCGCCGTCCCGGCACGCAGCGCGGCGAGCGACACCGGGGCTTTGGGACTGCGGCTTTGGCAGCGGCGGCTGGCGGCAGCAAAATGGCGGCGGCAGGCAGTGTGTGCAGAGAACCACCCCGAACACGAGGAGAGAACGAGAGCAGAACACGGCAGGAAATGGCGGCGGCAGGCAGTGTGTAGAGAGAACCGCCCCGAACACGAGGAGAGGATGAGAGAGAGAGGGGCGTGCCGCGCTGCCTCTTTTATGGAGCTTTCTGCGCTCCCGATTGGCCGGTTTTGTACTTCCGGGCTTTTCAGCCAATCAGACGGGACCTAGTCCCGCCCCTGCCTCCGGCCGCGGCTCCTCCCCCCCCACACACACAGGGGGTTCAGCGCCGCGTGGAGACGCCATTTTAAGTCAGTTTTGTCGGGTGACTCAAAGGACATTTCATGTTCGTGAAAGGAAATACCTGGTCCTTCACAAGTAGTATACAAATTATAAGCACATTTTCAATGACGTGTATTGAAGAGGCACCTTTTCTTTGTATTAATCACATTTGATAGACAATTTGGTGCCTGCAGTTCTCTGTAACTTCTAAGTGTCTCACTTTGGGTGTATAAATTGTTAACCCTTTCAAACTTATCAAATATGGCTAAATAAATAAAAAAAAAAGCTTAGGTTAGAAAGTTAGCAGCTTAATTACAGTACACTTATTCCACTGCCCCTAAAGCCCTGTGGAAAGCTTGGACTGATGCTCAAAGGAGGTGGCTGCCCTGGCTCCCTTCTGCCTGTGGGTCTGATCCTGGCTTCCCCTCTGTGTTGGCACTATGTCCCAGGGCTGTCCTCCCCTGGCTGGCAGTGCAAGGCTCAGGTGGGAGTGTCCCTGTGTCCCCTCGTGCAGGGCTGGTGCTGGCCACTCCACCCTGCTCCTTGTCCCCAGGCTGCTGTACCCATACAACGTGTGGCTCTGCTGCTTGAGGTTTGGTGCAGTATTTGCCTTTTAAAATGGTTCTGTATTGAACTGAGCCTTAAACCGTGCAAGAGTGATAGTGTGTTTAACTGTGTGCTCCTGCAGCTCTGCATCCTAATGGTGTTTCTCATGTAGCAGGGTGTGCAGTAGTGCCTCTTGGCCATGGAGGAGAACCTGGGATGCAGATGGGCTGTGCCTGCCGCTCCCTTGGCCTGGTGAGGAGGACACAGAGGATTGACCGAGGCAGGAGGAGGACGAGCTGCGCCAGCTGCGCGGGAGGATCTGCATCTCTGCACAGGTGGCACTTCTGGGTGAGCTGCTCCAGCTGTGGCTGCTGCAGGTACAGCTGGGCAACCATCCCCAGCTGCTGGGCTGCCTGTGCTCTGCTCTGCAATGCCAGTGCCATGTGAGGTCCTTCAGCAATCCCGTGTGTCACCTTGGCTGAAGAGCAAGGGACAGAAAATGCTGTGGCTGGAGCTGCCCAGGGTAATTTTCACTGTGGACTCTGATCTTCCTGTTTGAGTGAGATATCAGATGGGGGTAATGGGGGCTGGTGCTCATGCTTCACAAACCTCCCTTAAATGCACTTTCTGATTCTTGAGGATTTCCCCTTTCTCTCTTACTGCAGCCTCGTGTCTGGCTGCAGCTATTTGGGTGTCACCTTTGCTGTGTTGCTAGAACAAACGGGCATGGGGTGGTTGGTGTTTTCCCATCACTGAAATTGTTTGTAAGCTGCTGCTCATGGGATTGATCTACTCCAGGAGTCAGCAAGGGTGGCTGTGGATAAGATGGAGAGTCCCTTCTGCTTGATTCTGGGCAGTTCTGGGCCGAGGCACTTCTGCAATATGGTTTTGGTGTGGAGGACAGCCTCAGCCCAGCTACTTTGTGCCTGCAATAGCTGTTTTTTCCCTATAAATCTTGTTGCCTTCTTGTCCCTGGGCTGTAGAACATTGTCATCTCTCCAGCCCTGGGGACAGCAGTGAGCTGCACCACACTGTGTGGTGTCTCAGTAACCTCCAGCTCTCTGGATGGAGCAGGGAAGGGCAGCTGTGCCCAGGAGCACTGGCTGGGGGAGAGCAGAGCTGCTGTCCTTCCCAAGAAAGCCGGCAGGATGGTGCTCCCGGGCTTGTCCCTGTCCCACTGAGCTTCTGGGAGCCTGGCTGGGAGCCCAGCACCCCCCGACTTCCAGAGCTCCGGCAAAAGGGAAAAATCCGTGTGCAAGGGGACTGACCTGCCTTTTCCCTGGTTGTGCTGAGCTTTCCTTAACTGCCAGTGCTGGTGCCTGTGATTGCCCTGCTCTTCCAGCAGCCAGTGCTAGAACCACGGCCCAGCGCTGGGAGCTGCGGCCCGAGGGGTCTCCAGCTGCTGCTTCCATCCCTGTTCCCATTCCATCCCTCCTGCTGGGATGAGCCGGCGCTGAGCCCCGCGGCCCAGGGGCGGTGGGTGGAGGAGCTGGTGGCTGCCCTGGGCAGTCACGGCTGTGAGACCCGTCCTCTTATTGCATAGCAGAGAGTAATCACTTCATGTCTTGTATGGAAATGGGGATGACAGATGTCATAGTAAATCATAGGGTCATCACTAATTTATAGGTGATTACATTAAAGTGATATTAATATAGCCAAAGGCTTTGCAGAATTAGTGTTAATATATTTGTGTTTATTATATTTGCCAATATTTCCCCCATCCAGCTGGGTTTTTATGGCCACTTATTAAACAGAGAGCTCGCTGTAGTTCCCTTAACCTGGCTGAGAGGATGATTGGAAAACACTTGAGAACTTTGATCTACTAGTGATTAAATGTTATTGCCTCCTTGTTTATGAGGGTCGGATGGCAAGTGCTTCCCGTGTGGTGGAGTGAAGCGAGGGCAGGTTAGGACCCAAGTGGTGATTGAATCAGGGTCAGCAGGGGAGGCTCTGCAGAGAGGCCCGCAGATGTCTGGGTGCTCAGCCAGGATTAGGGCTGTGCTGAGCCAGGATTAGGTCACTGCAAATCGAGGCACAGATTTCTGACACCCTAGGCAGGCAGGGGTGTCCCCAGGGAGCAAGGGCAGGAAGGGGTACCCTGCTTTCTGCCTGGTCCTGGGACTGATGAGGTAGCCTGCCACTGTGCTGGGGGGCACCCACAGCTTCCCCAGCCACTGTGTGAACCAGAGGAGCCACGAAACCCTCTTGTTTGGCTGGGGGATGCGGGGGGGGGG